ACCGCCTCTCCAACTAACTTATAAATAAAGTGTTTTTGTTTTGTTGTCGAGTTTAATGTCTGTAAAATGGTAACCAGAAAGAAACAATTATTAATGTCTTGCTTTCCACATTATTTCAATTATGTCTGACAAAGCTGTGCCGAAGAATACCACTCATTGGTCAAATCTATCATCAAATTATTATCATTGTGTCAAACATTTATATTTAATATGTTATATATTATATCTTATATTTAATATTTTCCATTGTGTCCCTGCCTTTAAGGCAGGGACACAAATCTCAGCTAATCTCAGTTATTCTAAGTACTGATTGGTCAATTATAACCGGGAAATATGAAATAATAGCAATTTACAATAGAAGTTTACTATTTTTTTTATGTCGATTGTATTACAAATTCACTTCAGCATTCGTATTCATATGATTTTAGGGAAAAAGAATATATCATAGACCACTAGTGATGGGAATAATCGAATGAATTAAATAATCGAGAGGTTACCATTCGAATTAATTTTATAATCGAATGATCATTCGAATGAATAATCGAAAGTTCACTTTGAAAATTTCCGGTCTATCCCAAATCATATGCGAAACATGTTGACGTTAGGTAAATGAATGACTGTCGCGGATTGGGGCATTTCTTCCATATTTGAGGGCCCTAGTATCAAAGGCGGCAATCTCCACTTTTTGACGAAATCGAGTTAAATACATGATATTTTTCGGTTTTTCGCGCTTTGTCTAAATATATGGTTTGCGATTATCAAAAGCGGCTTTATCCCATTACAAAACTGCATTAAAACATCACCTGAGAATCAAATCCGGCAATCTCCATTACCCGCTTAGAATCAGAGTCGGCAATATCCGTTTTGGCCAATCAGATGGCTCACAGCGAACATATGACGTGACGTGACACGACATGCTGTTTCAGATAGTTAGGAATTTATTATTATTTAGTTCGTTTTTTTTTATTTTTGATTATACGTTTTGTTGAATTAATTTTAATATTTTATTCTTTTGTCTGTAAGTCCATTCCAAAATACTTGGTATTTATTTTACAACTCATTTTAGTGCAACCTTTGGTAACAAATCTTGCAAAATCCAACTGTTGGTATCAAACACGGCATTCTCCATTTATTTTTGTACATTTTTTCAGAAAATATAAAAAATTTAGGTACATTAACCTTAAAATCTAATGTAGTTTAGCATTTTCTTTCATTGGAAACTATGCTTCCTTTGAATTAAGCAGTAATAAGAGTGTAGTAGTTTTTTGCGCTTTAACAAAAAGTGGAAATGGTGGAGATTGCCGCCTTTGATACTAGGGCTCTCATTTATTCGTTGCCAGTTGAGTGATTCAGCAGCATGTGTTTAAAATGAGTAGTCGCCGCCTAAAGTGGTCCATTTTTTGTGATTTTTTTGAAAAAAAAAATTATATAGAAAACATAATTTGGCATTATTTTCATTCATATGAAATTTTATCCCCGCTAAATAAAGCTCCCATCTAACCCCCCGCGATGCCACTTATAAAATTCCTGCATACCTTTTTTATTGTATGTCGGTGATATTCGATTGTCTCATCTATCCTCTCGGCCGTCTTATCTCGAGATGTTGTAGCTCGTTAGAGCGTTGGAACAATCGAAACATCTGCGCACTCGCTCGAGTAGTGCACGTATTAGTAACGCTGTGGCCACTGTCATTCGTATCCGAATAATCGAATGATTCAATAGAACCACTCGAGATATCTCGAGAGATTTTCATAATCGATATAATCGATAATTTTCATTCGAGTAGTCCCATCACTATAGACCACCGAATATATTATGGTTAGTGCGAGATAATTTTTGTAGATTTATTTAAATGTAAATAATTTACGGTATTTATCAGGTCTGTGGTATTTATGGTGCTATTCTGTAATTTTCTTAGTGCTGTAAAATTCATGGTGATAAAAAAATACAAGTTATATATCTCTTATCTAGGAACAAGTTACTGTTGATTTATAGAACTATGTGCTAGGCTTATTTTAGATTAATAGAAAATAACTTGATAAAAGGCTTTTTTTTTAGGATCTAATGAAAGATATATTGTTTTTCTTTAAAATATAATTAAGATTCAAATTCAGTGATCGAATTTTAATATCGTCACAAATCTGGGGTTCTTAGTGGCAGTGATTTTTAATATTTCTGCCATTGCTTAATGAAATTGTATACATATTCAGTGAATTTTTAACCAGGACATTTAAAGATTCGATTCATTTGAATTCCAAAATACAAAAGTTCTGTTCCGTTCTACAGCTCAGTTAAGCAATGATTTGAAGCTATCAGAAATATTTGACCAATTGATTAGCTGAAAGTACAGGGGAACTTAAAGAGGGCCGAGTATACACGATTGTTTGAAAACGGTTGTAGAAACAAACCTTTTAACACCGAACAATAATACCTTCATATATCTGCTGTTAAAGAAATTAAGGTGTTAAACTAAATCTAAATATTGTATGAAATATTTATTTTCTACTAAATCATTCATATTTGTTAAATAATATAGTAATTACAAAACTTATGTGACAATTTTTTTTTTTCGAGATAAACAAATACATATAAAATTATTACTATTTAGAGACTATATATGGATGAAGAACATTGTAAAATATACATCATTAACATTTTTTATAATTATATTTTTACAACGCAACAAGCAACCGTTTTATTGAAACAGATTATTTCAATTTTGATATGGATATACATTAGCAGTAGAGATACATGTGACGTACATATAACAGAATTAACACGAAGAGTTGAAAGATATAATTTCTTTATTTGAAATATTTAAATTAAATAAGATATCCATATTAACATATTATTTGAGATTGTTTTTATATGGCATGTTATTGCCATTTACAAGTTTTTACATTTATTCAATAAATACATTTAATGACATATAGAATAAAATTATTTTAATTAAATATTATTGACAACGCAATATATTTAAAATATTAGGTATATACATTTATTATTTCAAATTTTGTTGATCTTTCAGATTCACAGAACTCTGATGAATCTGTTTCAAAGATCTAATTCTATAACCACAATACACTCTGAGGAGGATGCTTAGAAACACAAGAATTATTCCTAAAATACCCAAAGAGTGTACCTCATGATGATATATTATACAACTTAATAAAACAGAAAAGCCCTGTCTTATTGTACTAATTATAACAAAAACTAACGGCCCAAATGAAGAGACAGTGTTAAATATAAATAACTGTCCACATGCACTACAAAGTGATAACAAAATTACATCTAAAATAAAATTCGGGTATTTCATCATAAACATAAAAGAATTGAAAAATTCTCCTTGTTGAAGAAGCGAAACAGCTGTAAAAATACATGAGAAGAAATTTACAAAACACATCATTTGCAAAGGCTTCATTTCGTACTTTTTAAACAGCTTTCCTTGCCAGTTAGCTGTAAAACTGTCAAAAGTTATATATAAACACAAAAGTATTACTCCAGAAAGAGTAGTGACTGTAGAATTTGAGCGATCGTTACCAGTGTCAATCATAAAAAATAACATTCCTATAGATAATATTACAGCAGTAACATATTCGTAATATTCATATTTTGTTTTAGATACTATTTTCCCCATTAACATAACAGGTATGGTTTTACTAGCTTTTGCTAGTACTTGATGAGGAAATGAAACGTATTTTAAAACCTCATACTGACACCACGAACTCATAATATTTGAAAATGAGCAAAATACATATTTATACAACGGACACTTATGTCGAGGTTGTCTTGTACAAACTAAAATCATAGCAGATATAAAAAAAGCCAGAATTCTGTTAACAAAAACTAAAAACTGAGAGTCTTTAAAATAATCTACATCGGGTGAATTTCCATAAGGTTGTGTCATTACCTTTTCTTGTAAAATTCCCCATGACAAATAAGATATTTGAAGTCCAAAGAAATAAAATATCAACAAAAGTCCGTCTTGAAGAGGAGTTCTATGAGTAGTTGTAGAATGTGAATTAGGATTAACTAGTAACAATTCGTCTTCTCCAAAGCAAGTTCGAATTATAGCACCAAACACTCCACGACCACTTTTATTTAAATAGTTGGTTTTTATCACATATTTATAAACCAAATAACCTGGTAAAAATAGAGTAGCGTAACCTAGTATATTCCTTATTCCATGAATAATCCAGCTATATTCTTCTGGTGGATTCTCCACTACTTGTAAATTTAAAACACATTTATTTATTATGTATAAAAGTACTATTGACACTACTACAATTAAGCAAATAAATATTTCGGCATTTTTCGCCATAATAATTTATTACTTTAAATGATATTTCTTTGGTATTTGTTGCACTGCATTTTAAAAACAAGAATGAACTTTTTTGAATATGTACATTTAACCATTTGACATATGAAATTTAACCTCAAGGTGTTAAAAGTTTCTTCTTCCTCTTCTTTTCTCTGACCACATGTTATTTATTATAAAAAATAAATTCTTTAAAATTCACCGATGTTTCGAAGCCAGCTATCAAAACACTCAAGACCCATAATTCTCATACGAATGTACCTAAGACAGACTTCAACAACACTGCTGAGCAGCTCTGCAAGCCGTAAAAGAATGTTGAATCTACGAGCCGTTAGTGATAGGAAGAGTCAAGTAGGTCTCAACAGCTGGGATTGAACCAGGACGCCAAAAAAACGGAACTCGTGGACATCTTGAACCGTCTAAACATAGACGTTATGGCTGTCCAGGAGACCTACCTCAGCGAGGCATCCCGTACCTCCATCCCTGACTATGACATATACAGACATGACAGAAACCGTAACGGGGGTGGTGTTGCACTCATAGTAAAGAAGTGCATCGACCACTATCCGCTGCAGCGGCTCCAAACTCAAAACACAGAGGCCGTGGCGATAGCGGTGAGATCGCTACGGCATGGAGACGTTGCGGTGGTGTCCTGTTACCACCCACCCAGACTACCACTACTTGACAATGACTTAGACAAAATCCTTTCCTGGCCCCAGACAATTGCCATCGGGGACTTCAACGCGAAGTCCCCCATATGGCACAGCGGGACGACGACCACAAGAGGTCGCGTCCTGCTGAATTACCAAGACAGACACGACGACTTGACTATACTCGGACCGACAGAACCGACACATTACGGACCCGTAGGACGCCCCGACGTTATCGACATTGCCCTCTTAAAATCTATACCGTTAAATGCCCAAATATCCACCCAATACGAAGGGTCTTCCGCCCACAATCCAATATTTCTGGATCTGGGGCGAAGACAGAGATATGAAGGCACCTTCACGAGGAGGTTCACTGACTGGGAGCGTTTCCGAACAGTAATGCAAGGAAACATGGCGCTCCCAGTCAACACCTGATGAACTAAGACTGACAATACGCAGACTTAAAAACAGAAAAGCCCCCGGACCCGACAATATACATAACACGACACTTAAACGACTACCACACAAGGGCCTCATGGCCCTACTAAACATAACAAACGCGACACTCAGACTAAGACACTTCCCTACCCGCTGGAAAACAGCAAACATAATCCTTATCCCAAAACCCAACAAAGATCACACCATCCCATCCAACTACCGGCCCATTAGCCTGCTCCCGGCTATGAGCAAAGTGGTAGAAAAAATTATCCTAACCCGTCTAAGCCCCCATACCCTCCTTAACCCTCCCCTCCCGCGCTAGCCTAAGGGCCACCTTAGCAAAGCGCATCCCAGGCTGCATAGCCGCACTACCCTACCCAACCATACCACACATAAACATGACACTACCCCCGGGGTTTACACAGACGAGCCGGCGAAGCAAGAAGAGCGCCAGAAGAAAGGGCCCTAGCCGGCGGGGCCCAGCCAGGACAAAAGGAGGTCCCACAAAGCGGGGTAGACGACGGATGGGGCCCACCTACGAAGGCTGTCCAGGCCTACACGAGATGAGGCAGGATAAAGAGGGATAATCCCCCTTGATCCCAAATCATTGAGGTCAATTTCTAGCCATAGAATAATGGCGCGCGAACCAGGACGAGGCGCATCCGCGTCGTGGCGCCCATTGTGGGACTACCACAGGCAACCAACTTATCTCGTAGCCCAACTAGGCGACCAACCTTAATCCTGGAAGAGACCGAGACCAGTAACATTCCGCGACCTGGCGCCCAACGTGGTACTGCTGAACGAAAATGAGACGAGAAAATCCGCGACATTAAGCCGACTAGACACGGATATGCATGTCAATGCATATATCAACGCGTTCATTGCGTAAGGGCTATGTGGATAACGTCAGTCACAAATATTGTGGACAAAATAGAAAATTAACAATTACTTCGTAAAAAAATTTGTTAATTGAGCGTTGAATAACGCACATGTTAACTTATGCATGGCTGATATGCCAGCTGACTTTTTTAACTATAAACATGAAGTTATAAACTAGCCTTGTCCATAAGAGGTGCTTTAGAATTCAGATTTTTTCGTAGGTGCAGTTTGCCACCAGTAATGTGTACCTAATTTAAAAAGAACCTGAAAACGTTACAGCTGAATATTTATTAAAAAATAACTTCCGACGCTAGGTAACACCGTTAATGTTGAGTTTGTGGAAGTGTCAGGAAGACGTACTATTTTTTTTCACAGTGTATGACACTTTTCATGCAAAGGGGAGAACGACTCATTTTGTTTTGCAGTTATCTCTTAAAACTTTTTCCAAAAAACATAAATTTTTCAATATTTAAACACGTAAAATAAAAATAGAGTATTAATAAATATATCTATATTGCATAAATAAAAATCACATAATTCTACTTTAGATTATAAAATAAATATAATAAAATACATTACGTATCTGTAAATAAACTATTTACATTAAATTCAAAATTAATTAACAGTCCACATAAATTGTGATAGTGTATAAAGTTTTAACATTTTTGTGTTCCAGTAATAATCACAAAAAAATTTTACATTGCCCTGATGAGTATTTATAACAATCGTTAATATGTAGTAAAATATTTCACCCATCTAATAAAGCATCTACGTTTTGCCAACCATTCTCTTGAAATTTCTTACAATTTTCTATTACGACTGCTGCCAAATGTTTTACGGCTAACGGAGGCAAAGGATGGTGAATTAAATCTTCCAGCAATTGTAGCCCACCCTCTTTTTCTACTAATGTACAATATTTTTCCGCTGAAATAAAAAAAATACTTGTTAAGAGAAGCTAAAAATCTTTTAGAAATTCGATAACTCGTATGTGAAACAGCCGTTTACCCTAATGCACTTATACAGGGTGTTTTTAAATGAAGTAACAAAAATGTTACCAGTAAATGTAGAGCCAAAAATAAGAGGATTGAAGTAAACATACCTTATACAAGGTGACTCAGAGTAAAATTCAGTTTTCAAACGATCCCGCTACAAATACCATAAAAGTTACAGATGGCGTAGTAGTGTCAATATGTAGCTAATACATGCGGATTGTTAGTAAACATGGAGATGTGGTTAGGAGAAAAACACGCGTTTATGGTAGAGGCTTTTTTTAAATCGAACGATTATTACGTTGTGGCAAGGCGATGTTTCTGTAATCATTACAACATTCGCCGAGTAAATGATGCACCATCCTCAAACTTAGTGAAATTATGGGTAAAACGATTTCGAGAAACGAGTTATGTGGTAAACCGCAAGCGCCCGGGTCAACAAAAGTCTATTAGAACACCTGAGAACATCGAGACTGTACGGCGGGTTGTGACACACCACCCGCAGCGATCCACACGAAAACATGCCCAGGCCCTAAATATTCATCGGTCTAGTGTGCAAAGGATTTTAAAGGACGACTTACACTTTCATCCGTATAAAATTCAACTTTTGCAGTTTCTAAAGCCCGGAGACTACGAATTAAGAAAAAATTATTGTGAGACCATGATGAATATGTTTTGGGATGAAGGTGGATTGGATAAAATTTTATTCAGTGATGAGGCTCACTTTCACTTAGAAGGATATGTCAACAAGCAAAATTGTCATTTCTGGGCCCCAGTTTAACCCAAAAGAAAAGCACGAGAAACAACTGCATTCTAAGAAGGTGACTGTTTGGTGTGCCATGTCGTCTTCTGGAATAATCGGGTCCTACTTTTATGAAGATGCCCGTGGCCTACTGTGAATAGCCAATGGTACTGTGAAATGATTCACACTTTTTTTATTCCTGCTCTTGAGAACTTTCCTGGATATGACCCAAATTCGACCTGGTTTCAACAGGATGGTGCCACGGCACACACAGCAGCAGCATCAATGACCAGTCTATGTGAATTGTTTCCAGCGGTGCTTACTTCCAGATTTGGTGATATCCCCTTCCCCCCAAGATCACCGGACCTAATGCCCCCAGATTTTTTTTTGTGGGGATATTTAAAGAGTATTGTTTACACCAATCCCCCGGCCAATACAATCCAGTTAAAGAATAACATTCGGGAGGCCATTACCAATATTCCTGTTGAAATGTGTCGAGTTTTCCAAAATTTGAGGACCAGATTGGAGGAGTGCTGGACGCAAGATGGTCGACATTTGGATAACGTTGTGTTTAAAAAATAAAATCCGCATGTATACAGTTTCTTATTTTTAAAATAAAATTTATTGAAGAGTTTAAATAATTGTGTTATTAATTTTTAAAAACTGAATTTTACTCTGAGTCACCTTGTATGAAAGTTGCAGCCCTGAGGCGATATACCCTCTTAAAGGAGGGGATAGAAATTCACATTTTAATTTTTTTCTTTAACATGAGGAATGCTAGAGACATGAAACTTGGCATCCTTCTAATAAAGAGACAACTTTTCAATATTTGTTCGATCATTGTCGACCCCATTGCAATATTTTATTAGAAACTTTTTATATGAGGCAAATTATTTATTTAAAAATATTTATTGGGAAGAATGATTTATTGCGCAACTTTTTTACCTCTCGTAATTTTTCCATAAAACCGATAGTTTTCTAGTAAAAAAATTAGATGCGTCATCGTTCACTAAAGGGGTAATTGCGAAAATTTGTAAAAGTAAAGTAGGCGGATGTCATGACAAATAAATTGTTATTTATCATATTAATAAATTGACACTTTCTGTCAACCAATAATTAGTACCTACCAATTGATTAATTTATTATCAGAACAATTACGGCGAATAGTATTTATACCAATGACGAATATGTCGACATGCTCCAAGTGTTTTTCGAATCCAGAAAAAATAGTAACGCTGCAGTAAGATTATACCACCAAAGATATCCAAACCGACCGATTCCTCATAGACAAACATTGGCTTCGGTGGAAAGAAGGCTTCGCGAAACTGGTAAAATTCAGCCCAATCGTGAGGGTGCCGGAAGAGGGCATAATGTCCGAACTGTTAAAACTGAGGAAGCTATACTGGAACATCTAGAACAAGACTGTGGTACAAGCACAAGACATGTGTCCAGGTAACTGCAAGTTTTTCACAGTCTTGAGTGGAATGTAGCTCAAATCTTTTATACCCTTTTCACCATCAACCCGTGCAAGAATTGAATGACCCTGATTTATCTAACCGCGTGGATTTTTGTCAATGGTACATTAATATTTCCAGGCATGACTTAAATTTCCTAATGAATATACTTTTCAATGATGAAGCAAATTTTCCTAGAGTAGGTGCAGTAAACCTTCATAATGGTCGAAAAAAAAAAACTCATGAAATAGAAATATTTGTTTCAAGATGTCAACATAATCTCAGTTTAAACGTTTGGATGGGAATTGTAGGAAATTCTCTAGTAGGTCCTGTTATTCTTCCAACATTATTTGAGGGTGTACCCCTCTCTACACGTCAGGTGATGTGGTATATGCACGATGGGACACCTGCACATAGTACACTTGCCGTTAGAGAATGGTTAAATTTAAATTACCCGAATCACTGGATTGGTCGTGGTCGTGATGCCCCTGTTTGTTGGGCACGTTCACCTGACCTAACGCCTATGGATTTCTTTTTGTGGGGACACATAAAAAGTATTGTCTATGCCACTCATGTTGCCTGCTTAGAAGAACTACGCTTAAGAATATTTCAGGCAGCAGATGACCTTCGCAATAACCAAGAACTGTTTGTGCGCGTGCGTTATAACTTCAACAGACGTATTAGGTTATGCTTGCAGCAAAATGGAAATTATTTTGAGAATATTCTTTAAACTTAATTTTGCATTTCTTGTTTTTCGTTTGTATTAAATTTTATTTCAGATAAATAACTTTACCTAATACATGTCCCATAGTCATAAGTTATCAAACATTTTTCATTAATAGCAAATTATTCTTAATATTATTATTAAATTACCGGCTTATTGACAGAAAGTGCCAATTTATTAATATGATAAATAACAATTTGCACAATAAATACCAAGTTTCATGTCTCCAGCATTCCTCATGTTAAAGAAAATAATTAAAATGTGAATTTCAATTCCCTCCTTTAAGAGTGTATATCGCTTCAGGAGTGCAACTTTCATTTTTACTTCAATCCTCTTATTTTGGGCTCTACATTCACTGGCGCCATTTTTGCTACTTCATTTAAAAACACCCTGTATTTAAATATCTTAAGTAACAGTAATGCAGTAGCGCAAAGTCAAATTTAGAAAACGTTTGGTCAATTTCCACATGCAAATATTTTCAAACAAATCTCTAAAAACATTTGCCCGTAATCAAAAACAAACATTAAATAAAATACTTTTTACTTGCCCCTGAACAAGTTAAATATGTCATGAACAAGTAACTTCAGCAAAACCTACAGTTTTTTTTTTTCAATTTGTATAACATACTGCAAAAAGAAACTTACGGTATACTTTAGTGAGGTTTGCCAGAGCCCAAACGGCCCAACGTTGGCATTCGGCCGTATGATAAACCTTCACAAGGTACAGGATGGGTTCGAAGGACCTATAATTTATGTTTCTCTGGGAATTCAAATCCCACCTATCGATGGCTAACACCATTTTATTTAGAACGTAATTTCGAGATGGTTCAGTCACAGTCCACACTTGAGGCCCGTCCGAGGCGATGTGAGAAATAACACCCGCTGCGTTGTAACTAACTTCAATGCCATCGCTCTGGGAATCTAAAAGTCTAGAGAAAACCGATAAATATTCTGGTGTTACTAGGTAATGTCGTAGTTCTTTTACTTCTGCTACATTCCCTAACAATCCCATCATGTTTCGAAGCAGCTCTTCTTTGTCGGTGAACTTCTGTCAATAAAACAAAGTTAAAAGAATTAAGGTAACTTAAGCAAATAAAAAGAAATATCTCAAAAATATATCAATTGAAGTCAAATAATAAGAAATCAATTGATACAGTTTTTAGGGAAATTGTTTTGATTTAGCTTAGAACCTTTAAAATAAAGTAAAATTACAAGATTTATTAATAAAACATACATTTTTCCCAAAATGTCTGTAAAAATTTAATTACAAACGTAAACACGAAATATATATTATCCTATTTATAAACAACAAAGTTTGTGGCAATCAAATTTAAAATGTACATTTTCTTTAATAAAGTTTCTCCACATCTTTTAAAAATGTTATTTTAATAAATAATCTTTCTTTTGATTGCTATAAACTTTATTTTCTATCAGGTGGTGTTTCCATAAAAACAAAAATGTATTTTAAATGGTACTAATCATAGACGGAAGACATGAAAATGTTTAGTTTGACAATTTTTTTTCTTCGTATATTATCGTGTAAAGAAATTTTTCAAATTTTTTACTTACTCCTTAAAATTGTTTGTTATTTGTAATTTTATAATTCTTTTTTGACCAGAATAAATGCACTACAATTTTTCAATTTATAGTGTTTATAGTTTTCTTTACATACTGCATATTTTATTACATTTTTAAAAACGGAAGTATAAAATCTAGAAAAATATTTATTTAACTAAACAAAACTTTGTTTTATTTATTTATCATTATTCTTTGTTTGCTTTGTTGCAATGAATTGTTTATTTATTTTTTAAATATATTTTTCCTTTCATTTTAAAGTGGCGAAATATTCAAGAACAATATAAAATTATTGCATATAAATTAATATGTGAATACACAACAAATGTTTATTTATTTTTCCTAAAATGCGACAAATTGACATATCAATTATTGTTCTGGTTTTAAATATTTAGAGTGATATTCAGAATAATCAATCACCTAATAATTTGATACTATACTTTCATAAAAAAGCTAATACGCAAGATTGTTTAGAAGTTCAATAATTGATTTAATTTTTTCACCCTCATTAAAACGTCTATACAGGGTGTCCGCAAATTTCACCGACAACGTTTGACTGCATATTCACGACGATAAATAACTACGATCTACAAAAAAAAAGTTAAATAAAAAATTTTTGGTTTTTGAGTTACAGTTCTGCAAAGTTGACAAAAACAAAGTTTATTTAATTCATAACTTCATAACCCTTTTACCAATCGCGTTAAAATTTGGCACATTTATTTGGACTATTGTGGCATATTATTTCTTAAAGCTTTAGTCAAGTCGATATACTAGGTGATAGTTTTCTCCAGTTACCTTTTAGTGGTCAAAACTTTTACAGTGGTTGTATTTTCTTTAAAACGGACAACAATGAAAAGGTCCTTTTATTTAAAAAATAATTGTCTCTTGAGAAAATCTCTTAGAGACAGCCATTCTTGAGAAAAATGGCATTATTTGCAGGTCTGCATGTTTCGGTTTTCTTAGCAGTGTCACAGATTTAAATCTTTGAGTTCAGTAGGCTATGAAAACAAAATGTTGATTGCTGTAACAGTTTTGACCGCTAAAAGGGGGAGGTAACTGGAGAAAACTACTACCCAGTATATCGATTTGACTAAAGCTTTAAGAAATAATACGCCATAATAATCCAAATAAATGTGCCACATTTTAACGCGATCAGTAAAAGGGTTATGAAGTTATTAATTAAATTTTGACAACTTTGAAGGCCTGTAACTCAAAAACTAAACATTTTTTATTTAACTTGTTTTCATAGATCGTATTCATTTATCATCATGAAGTCAAACGTTGTCGGTATAATAGGGTTACATTTGAAGAACTGAACTGTATCATATATTTATAAAAAAGATAATAATTTGAAAGGCACCTTACTTAAAATCACAGAACTTGATAAACCAGAAGGTTATTGCCAAAAACTAAATATAATTAATTGAAAATAAATATCTCAGTAATGATTAATTTTAATGTGTGGAGAAAAAAACTGTCAAAAATTAAAAAAGAAAATGTTAATGCTAAGTGGAACCTTCTACTGTCTTCCAACTATGATCAGTACGCAATAAAAATATATATTTTTTATTTTTTAAGGGGAGCAACCACATAAGGTTAAAAAAAATTGGATTTTTTTTATTGCATAAATTGTTGGCATAGTTGTTACGATGTCAATTATTGGATCCTGTAAATCTTAAAGCACAGGACCGTATGCACTTCTGAAATTTCTTCTTATGCTTTGACCATAATGTGTCTCGTAATTTATACTCGAATAGCAATTCGGCGAGTCCGGTATTGGGAAACTAGTCCGCTTGATATAGAATTGACGGTGACGCGCTGGTCACCAAACCTGTATTGGTCCACTAGGTCGTAAATAATTTTCTTGTATGGTACACGGGTTCACTTAGCTTTGCCGCTTTGCCAGTGCCGTGCAGAGCATTGCTTGGCAGGGTATGTTGTTGGTATAATACGTATTATTATTTATTAGTTGATATTATTTGTTCATATCGTAACCAGTAAAGGGAAAGTTATTAAAATTATTGTTATATGTGTTATGTTATCTAGTAATTTAGCGTGGCTCTCTGCAGACTCTTTGAAGCGGAGGTTAACGAAATAACTCGGGAAAATCTCCAAATAGCAGAACTGGTTTTTGTCAAATGTATCGAAACAAACCCAGTTTAAAAACAAAGATTTACACGTAAAAAGTCAATATTAAATTGTTTTATATTAAATATGTATGAATGTTTGAAAATAGTGAACAATGTGATAAAAATGTTAGGAAACGGATTAACAAATTAACTAAGATCCAAAAAAGGCCAATTTATGGCGTAACTAAAGAAGGATTGATCACGGTACAAAGAGGAAACGGGAAAATACAAAATTAAAGAAAATTGACGATTTTACCTGATGTAATGCGGCGCACAATTTATAATATGTATAAAGAAAAAAGTTCCTACTTTAAACATGATTCGAGATAAATTAAGCGATTATCCTGATTATAATTATAAATCTTTAGATATTTTACGACATGCTTTATTACAATGCAATTTTAAACATAAAAAAACTTGACAATCGTATGGTAATATAGCTCGGAATATAGTATATCTAAACGAGACAGGGCTAAATTTGTCTGGACGTCTATGGATTCCGTAGAATTTTCGAGTTAAATGTTTTTATGCGTTTCCAATTGAGATCATAACAACTATATAACAATTCAAGAATACATTGCCAAAATTTTAAAACGAAATTCCTATAAGGACTGTTATACGGTAAATGGAATCGCTGATTGATCAGAAAGCACTTTAATATTATCGTAATTTTCTCAAATTTCTAGTTTTTGGAAATCTTCAATCACGTTTTTCTCAATACATTTTTTTTATTCACGGAAACTCTAGCTGAAAAAGTTATAGATTGATCGTAATGAAAATTAAAAGTGTGCTTCTTTATGAAATTACAAAAGATATGAACTAACAATTGGGATGTCATAATTTTGAGGATGTTTTTTATTTAAAATAAGTGAAAAAAAAAATTGTGGAAATTGATATATTTTTTTCAAATACATGTCAAAACTTGAATTTTCACAATTTTGACCCGCAATAAGGTTCATAAACTTAGAAAACATGTTAATAATGCAGGAAAACAACCATTTTGCTTTCAGATCAATATTGTGACCTCCACATTTCCCGTGAAAAACCAACTTGGGTGACGACGTTCGGTGGACAACAGTCCATAACTTCGGCATTTTCAACACATGTGACTTGAAAAAATTTGTGAATGTAGTTCAAAATACTAATAAAATAATGTCAAAATTTCATCAAATTCTAATCAATTTGTCCCACTCAAAGAAATTCATGAGAAACATCTGAGAGTCATCCTCCTAATGTGGTTTCCCCCCTAAGGAAAAATCAAGTGGCAAGTGCTATACCGGGTGACCACGAGATTACTACCCAGGCTCTAGCTTAGGCATGAAAAAAAATATCTATTTCAAATTTAATCATAAAAACAACTGACCGTCAGTTCCTGTTTGATCGGAAATGCCCTAAACTTTGTTATTTCATATGGAACACTCTGTATATTATTTTTGTTTTCAATTCTGCTGAAGAAATTAACACTAAAATATGTATTATGTCCTATACCTATCTTTGACAGTTTCCGAGAAAATCACGCTTTAAAATGTCAAATGTGTCATTTATAAAATCCTTTTGAAAGAAAACAAACGAAGAAAAGGACAGTCATATGATATCTTTAACATATTTTAGAAGTACTAAAGTCTGATATCATAAAAATGTCGCACTTCCGGCACATCCGGAAAATAAAGGAAATCATCTTTAATAGCAAATAACTGCAATAATTTTGATGGAATGCCCTACAACTAATTGAGAATTCGTATTCTACAAACAATTTCGAGTCATTTTTATGTACACTTCCCTATACCCAAAGTTCGAAGTTTTTGAGATAATAAATGTTTAATATAAAAATGCCATCTGAACGATGCATAAATGGAAAACGATATAGGAATTTTAATTTTAATATGGTTGCTATGACAGGCTTTTGTTTTTAGACACCATATTTTCATAATTACTTAATTTGACATTTTGCTGTTACATTACATTTCACGTTTATTGGTGGTGGTGCTTATTATCTTTTTTATTTAAAATGCCAGTTTTTACTCGCGAACATCAAATCGACAAAAGCTTTATACAGATGACGATATCCAGATTGTGCACAGCCACATGATAAATATTTTCCTTGGCTTGAACGTCACTTAAAAACAGAAAGACTTGAAGAATCTAACGAGTTTATTGTTGATGAAGAGGCGGAGATTAATACTCTGGCGTGTACTGAGGTAGATCCGACTACTTCAGTTAGGCAAATTGCTGCTAATATTGGAATTCGACAGGAAAGCGTCAGAAAGATTTTAAAAAAGCACAATTCTTCTGACGAATCACGCTTCACAAATTTGGGTATGTTCAACAGAAATAATTCAAGATACTGGGCAAAAGAAAATCCCCACTTATTTAAACAAGGAGTTTTCCAGGGAATATTTGGAGTTAATGTTAGGATGGGAGTAATTGGAACGTGCATCGTTGGACCATTTTTCTTTGAAATTCCACTAACAGCAGACCAGTATTTACAGTTTTTCAACAATGAAATAGCTGACTTGAAAATTTACCAAAAATTAATATTTACGCATTTATTACCAACAGGACATAGCTCCATCCCATAATGCCTGAAGGGTAATGGATCATCTAAATCAAGAGTTTGAGGATCGTTGGATAGGTACATATGGACCAATTAGATGGCCAGCTAGGTACTGCGATATCACTCCATTAGATTTTTTCTATTGGGGTTACATTAAAGAAGCAGTGTACAGAACACAACCTGCTGATCTAGAATATCTCCGCGATCGGATTACAAGAGCGGTGAATAATATAACTCCTGCTCAAATGGAAAATGCGTTAAGGGAATTTGAAAACAGGATTCATTTATGTCATCAAATGAATGGTTAACAATTTGAACACTTAATTTATGGGTGATCTGTTACATTTTTCTTAAATTTCTTATCTTTACTGTTACCATGTTTTTAAAATAAATATTATTGTTAATGACTGACCTTAATACTAATATGTAAATAGATGCAAATATGGCGTCAAAAAACAAAAGCCTGTCATAGCATATTGAAATTAAGATTCCTAGGCACCTCTGGTCTATGTGTTGACTGATTATATCGTTTTCCATTTATGCATCGTTCAGATGACATTTTTACATTAAATATTTAATATCTCCGAACTTTGGGTATAGGGAAGTGTACATAAAAATGATTCGAAATTGTTTGTAGAATATGAATTCTCAATTAGCTGTGGGGCATTCCATTAAAATTATTGCAGTTACTTGCTATTAAAGATGACTTCCGGTATTTTCCGGATGTGCAGGAAGTGCGACATTTTTATGATATCAGATTTTAGTACTTCTAAAATAAGTTAAAGATATGACTTTGTCCCTTTCTTCGTTTGTTTTCTTTCAAAAGGATTTTATAAATGACACATTTGACATTTTAAAGCGCGATTTTCTCTGAAACTGTCAAAGATAGGTATAGGTCATAATACATATTTTAGTATTAGTTTCTTCAGAAGAATTGAAAAAAAAATAATATACAGTGTTCCATATGAAATAACAAAGTTTAGGGAACTGATGGCCAATTATTTTTATGATTAAACTTTGCATCAAATTCAATGATATGCATGCCCAAAATTTGAAATCGATATCTTTTTTCGTGCCTAAGCTAGAGCCTGGATAGTAATCTCGTGATCACCTGGTATTTTGAAATGAAGTGAAAAATAACATTTAATACAAGTTCTCATAAATAAAAAAACATAAAGTATAATTTCTACAAAAACATATTTCATAGAAATAGATGTGGTACTGATACTAACCTCAAGACACGACAAAAAGTGTTCCATCCCTTTATTTTCCAAAAACCGTCTACAGTTTGATGGCGTTTCGTCAGTCACGTTCCACATTGTGGACCAAGCTACTTCTAGTACGTCATCGCACAGCCCTCTTTCCAATCGCTCTGTTATTAACCAAATCATTTTCTGCAAAAAAAGTTACATTAGTTATATCTTCGGAGTAAAAATGAATACTATCAACACACATCTATTGCTCCTAACTCGCCTAATTTGACCTTCTGTTGGCCATCAACTTGACATGCCAACGAATTAAGCAAATATATTCCAATCCTTTGCACAAAACTTTCTTGAGCCAGTCCATCGACCGAATGTAGTAAAATATTGGCAAGCCTTTCATAATCAAAAAGCTAAAACAGAAAGTTTGCATTAAGATAAAAGCTGGCACCGTGTTAAATTGTTCTGATGTTTACTTTTGATTCAAAATTAAAAAAAAAACACATGTATTATAATTACGTAATGGGACGTTGAATAAGTTATCACTATTTTCTAACAGATTTTTTTTGATAGTGTTAAACATTTCGAATTTCGAATTTCGTACCAAAAAAGAGTATTTGAGGAGAATTTTGCTGCACTTTTCATTCAAAAGAAATCTGCAGCTGAAGCACACAGAATTCTTGTTGGGTGTTACGGTAACCGTGCTCTGTAGGAAAGAACATGCAGAGATTGGTTTAGACGCTTCAAACATAGTGACTTAGATGTTGAAGATAAAGAACGTTCTGGTGCACCAACACAGTTTGAAGATGAACAAATAATTGGAGACATTATTTCATGAAGACTCATGTCAGACGCTAGCTGAACTGATTAGGAGTTGATTACCAGAGAGCGGACAATTTGTGTCTTTAACCTTGAACATAGATATGTCATTCATAAACAAAAATACAAATACATACAATACATTATCCATGACGCAGTGGCGTGTCGGGTATGCATCGGAAATTTACGTGATAATTCACGAAAATTCCACGGTACGTACATTTTTAGGCATTATAAAATATTTAGAAAATCAGAAATTGTATACTACATATTTATTAAATAAAGTTCGGTTAAAAATAGTGTCGTTCTTTTAATTGGAAATTAGGAGTCAATGTAACGAATATCCTCAGGCGACGCACATGATAGAATAGTCCAACTCACGCTCCATTCATAACAGGGCTGCAGTTTGAATTCTGACCAATAGGAATTCGATAAACGCAACCGATGTCGATGGACGGACTAGAGATGGGCGCGAGTGTAATTTCATTTCTTTAGAACTAAATTAACTTAATTATTTTCTCGTGATTTAACCTGTTCACATGATTTATGGATTTTAAATAAAGGGTAAAAATCTTCGCGAGGATAATACGATTCATTTGCTAAAGATAATAATTATATTTTGCATAGTTTATACACAATACATTTTTGAACGCGTACACATCTCTACCAAAATTTTACCTATTCTTCGGGTTAAAGTAACACATTGTCCGCTCTCTATTGATTACACAATAGTTTCGAAACATTTGAAAGCATTAAGAATGATTCAAAACAGTGGTGGCTCGTGGTATCTTTGGCAGAGGAGGTTTGAAATGAATAACTTTAAACCGTCGCGTTCTAATCAAACGGGCACATTTCCATGTGAATAACATAAAGTAAAATCTCTTATTTTGTATAAAACATTGAATAACATTCATTTTTTGTAAATTAGCAATGAGTACAAAAACTAAAAGAAATTTGAATAAATTAATATGTACAACGGTTACTTATACAGGGTCGGAAAGTCCCCAAGGTTCATCAGCCGTTACCTGAGAGCGATAAAGAAAGTCATAGAAATCCATGCGATAGAGACAGATGGCTATAATGAAGACGTCTAATAGTCACCGGCCATTTCGCCCTTTCACAAATAAGATCCACTTCTTATGTGTTGGTCACAATTTCTGTTTAATTATGAGCTTTTCATCGTAACTGAGAGTACTAAATCCTTTTAATAATAAATAATCCACAATGTCCATGCAGCTAAAGAAGTTGTTGAGGTTATATTCGTTTTCCACACTCATTTTATTTTAATAAAGTTAAGTACGAACCAGAGTAAAATGTAAATGATTGTTTTACTAATTAATTATGATCGTCTCACAAAAATTCTTAAGAAAAACTTCACATAAACACCAATTAAAAACAAAAACGCGCGTACTCACAGAATACTAATGTTTTTATTATGAAATGGGAAATGCAACTAATGCAACATTGCAACATACAACTGCGATTGTCGAGGTGGTAGAGAAGAAGGGCTATATTGAAAGATTCGCTTGTTAAAAAAAGATGGAAGGTGGCAACAAGCCTCCGTGCTCGACTGGTTAAGCTCGAATGTAGATATCGTGGGGGCATAATTTCAAGGTCACGCACCATATAAAGGCTGGAGACTTGAGAAAGTTAGCTGCCAGCGACTATAATTCGAATTTGGAAGGCGCGAAAAATAGTGAACATTTAAAAATCGTATATTTACGTGCTCGAGATTTCCCTTAGTAGGTACCTAATTAGTTGCATATGAAAATAGATTTGTAAGAAAATTTGTTAAATAACATTAACTATATGATGTAAAATAAAAAAACTAAAAGAAAACTTTTGCAATACTATCAAAAACTGCAGAGGAGGCTTAGCCTCCCCAGCCTCCTCTAATGAGTTGCCACTGATTCAAAGGCAAGGAAATTGGGTGGCGTCGAAAGACGTCAAATGGCATCTTTGCATGTATGAATAGCTGCTTCAATTGCTGAAAGGGAAAGTTTTTTGCACTGTGTCATGACTGGCGTTAAAAAATGGATAGGCTACAAGCTAGAAAACCGTGGGGTGTCATTTTTGTGATGCGGAATCAAAATGCTATTAGAAAGATGGGAAAAAGTAGTGTCTAGTGATGGACAATACTTTCAGTGACATGTTTTTTGCTAATCTTTTTATTATTTAACGTCCCATTAAGTATAATTATTATTCTTACTATGTCAATAGGTATCCGAAACTGGCATAGTGTTAAACAGCCGTTTCTCATCATAGTATCATCGTTTTTATGAATGCTCATACCATTTAATAAGGTTGTTATAATTCTTCTTTTAATTTTCACGTCATGTAATTGTCTATCAAACCCTTTGACTATATAAAATAATGTTGCACTAAAACATAAAGAAATAAGCAATACATCAAGAAAGTGGTTAATGTTAACAATATACCTTGCTGATATTTGGATATGTCTTTCATACAAATGCCTGTTCATAGCTTCTAGTACGATATTAAGTGCTTGACCCACATATTGGCAATTTTCAAAACGGAATAAGTGAAACAGTTCATTCATCACCTTCTGCAGCATTTCGGTCCTATCCAAATAAGCCAAAGCAGCTACTAATATCTGTTCTTCATTGGCATTTCCAGCGATCTGAAAAAAATTAAATAAAAAAATGTCCTAATACTGATTATTTCCAAGTCTTTAGGAAATGTTTAAATTATTGGCTGAAAATGGCTGAAATGGTTTGTCTTTTCTCTTATTTTTTTTATTCAGACTGACTAACAAACTTTCTTATAGGTACACAACCAAAATTAATCTGTAGCAATAAAGTAAGCAGTCTTAAAATTCTTTAGTGTAAAATTTACATTAATGCTATTTTTTTAATTTGGGGAAAAATTCCACTCGTTTTACAGAATATCTATTATTTTTTTTTAAATTTCAAGAGGTTATATTGGTTTAAAGCATTTTCAAAATGATTTTTACATTTTAAGAAATATTTAAAAAGTGACTTACCAGTTTCGCAGGTATATCATGTCTTAAACAGGCGTCATGACTTGTTTCATATAGTCCTAAATATTGAAATGGATTGTTAACTCTAGAACTTAAACCTGGTATGTCCGAAGCATGACCATTAGTAGTTTCTGCTACACCTCTCCCCGCTAAATTTGTTCCCGAAATATCTAGAGAGGTAAGCTTAGGCAAGTTTTCAACTAGTGTTTTTAGGATTTTAGTACCCTTCTCATATTTTCCTTGTTCGTCTCTCGATTGAGATATATCTAGATGTTGGAGATTTGTTAATTTGCAAATAGCAGGTACCTTGGTATCAATACCGTCTACATTATATAAAACAAGAGAAGTTAAATTTACAAGATGTTCAGTATAATCGAAATCTTGTAAATCACTACAATTGGATAAATCTAAATATGTTAATGTCGACAATGGATTTAAAAGTAACATATAAAAATCTGGTTGTAATGAATTTAAACCTTTTAATGTTAACCTTTTTAAATTAGGTGTTAGAAATATGAAACCTCTATCGTATTGTTCTTCATTGAATCGTAGTTTGCCATAAATGTTGGTGGGAAAAATTTCAGTATTTTCACCCACACAAAGAGACAAAAGACTAGTTCCATATTCCGTAATATGTCTTATACAATTTGAGGTTAGATTGGGGCTATGAGATATATCTAACTCTATCAATTTATGTTTTAATAAGATTTCTAAGTCATGGTCTTGTATTTTTGTTTTCCTTAATCGTACCCTCTTTAATCTAGTGCATTCGGTGTTTTGAAATATCTTAATAAAATTAGAATTAACAGGTGTAATGCTATCGGATCGAACATTCAACAAGCGTTCACAAATTTCTACTGGAAAAATATGACCATCTATTAATTGTAAATCTCCTGTGTCCGAGTCTAACTTGCAAATCGTTTCAAGATGCTTATTAACATAGTCAAAACAAATATCCAAGAGTTTTTCTGGTACTGAATTACAGAAACAGCATGTTTCATACGGTAAAGCAGTTGAATGACAACAATTACTTTGTAGCATCTAAAAACAGAAATTATAAATACGTATCAGAATAAAAATATTTACTCTCAAAATAAATTCGCCTACATACCTTTTCTTCTATAAAAGCAGTTCTATGAATATTTACATGACATGTGTTACTCTAGTAAACTGTCACAAATGTATTTAAAACGCGGAACTGTTCCACAAGCTTTTTCTTCTTCAATTTTCCAGATGTTTTCACAAAAACTATTTTTGTTATTGAGTAATTTTTGACATTCTTTACAAGTAGAAAGAAGTACATTCACGACCCACACCACAATTTACAGTTCGTACGTTATAATACTAGCTTAAACAAAAACATTATTTTAATTCTAAAATTTTTTAGCTTTTCTTTTACAAAAAAATCTTTTCGAAAAAGTATTTACGTGAACCGGATTAGTATAGTTTATTATTTAAATATATTTTATAGCACAATAAACACCCATTACCCTCATAATTTTTTCAAGTTGGTTAGTAGTAAACGTCAAAAGTATGGCATATTACAAAGCAAGGTGTTACTGTAAAATTATTTATTAATAATAAAATAATAACATTGTGTTACATTGCAGGTTAAAGGAATTTGACGAAATTCTTTTTCGAGATGTCGTTAATTTAAGAGAATTAAAAAAACTATCATTTCACGGTGAGAGGATAGTGGGAGTGTCTGTGGGTTTTTGTTTTTATTTTTGTTGTGCCTTTTTAGGAATACCAGATGATCAAGGTAAACGAGCCCTTTGTTGGAAATTACTTCTAAACTATTTACCACCTGAACGTGAGAAATGGATTCCACATTTGCAAGAAAAACGATCTTTATACAAACAATTTATAGGTATCTAACCTCAATATTTTGTCAGCTTTGAAATTTTCTGAAAATGTTAAAGATTAATTGTTTTACGATAACAAACACAAATTACACATTACATTTCATCCACAGACAATTCATATCTGCAGTAGGAATTTACATTGCTGGTATATTTTTCAATATATCCTAACAGAAAAGTCGGTACTTCTTTCAATTATCACAAAGATAAATCCACTTGCACTTTGGACACATCGAACGAGTCCTCGCTTATATAATTTTTTTAAATAATTTCAGCCAGTTGAAAACTATTATATGTCCAATTATTCGTAACTGATATGTTTCTACTAAAATGTTAACATTTTATTTTAAGTGTCATTTGATTTTTCATTGAACAAAATGATGCCAAGTGAATTAACACCTATTTCTTTCAATTTAATTACAAAGACTAACTCAGAGACTTGTATAGGGCCAGGGGGAACATTATTATTATTCAGCAATTACCGACTGGTATAAATCTTTTACATTTACCGAAACCTTTGTTCTTCCAATCGATTGCACCTGTGGAAAGGGTGCAGATTTTATTTTCTGTTACTTTTTGTGTCTCCTTAATGTAATTACCAAATTTCAGAGGAAATGATAGTTATGCCTGGAGAAAATGAAGCAAATGGGGACGTTACCCTAGGGGATCACCCCCTAAGTATAAATCCAGATAGTGAATGGCAAACGTTCTTTAAAGATAACGAAGTTTTGCTACAGATAGACAAAGATGTAAGAAGACTGTGTCCAGACATATCATTTTTTCAACAACCTACCGATTTCCCTTGTACTAAAATAGTTAATAGTAACGATGTTAAACGATTACACACAAGAGTCCAAAGGAGAGTTCTGAAATGTGCAAATGTCGAAAGGAAAGGCTTAGGAATCACAAAGGTATTAATAATATAATTTTATGCAAACTGTTATTTCTGCTCTAATTATTTTATCGTTCTACTCTTAGTCCTACTTACCTGTGGATTGGTTTTAGTAGCAGGTAATTTTTAAAAATTTATATAAATGCATGAGTGAATATACATTTAATTAAGTTACTATGTATGTTATCGAAATGTGTTTAGCAGAAAAAATTATGTGAAGAAATACAAATGGAAAGTATTTGAAATTTCTTCCTTAATAAATAAGAAACTATTTTTCTTTTATTTGCATTTCTAATCTTTTCATATTTTTATGGTAAAAATAACACGGTATAGTAAAAATATTATATTTATAGTGTATTCTTATACAGGGTGTTTTTAAATGAAGTAACAAAAATGGTACCAGTGAATGTAGAGCCAAAAATAAGAGGATTGAAGTGAAAATACCTTATAGGAAAGGTGCACCTCTGAGGCGATATACCCTCTTAAAGGAGGGGTTGAAATTCACATTTTAATTTTTTCATGAAACTTGGTATGAACATCCTACTAATAAAGAGACAACTTTTCAATATTTGTTCAGTCAACCCCATTGCAATATTTTATTAGAAGTTTTTTATATGAAGCAAATTACTTATTTAAAAATATTTATTGGGAAGACTAATTTATTGCGCAACTTTTTTAGCTCTTTACCTAAAAAAATTAGATGTGTCATCGTTCACTAAAAGGGTAATTGCGAAAATTTGTAAAAATAATGTAGCCGGATGTCATAACAAATAAATTGTTATTTATCATATTAATAAATTGACACTTTCTGTCAACCAATAATTAGTACCAATTGATTAATTTATTATCAGAATAATTATGGCAAATCATATTTATACCAATAATGAATATGTCGACATGCTCTAGTGTTTTTCGAATCCAGAAAAAATAATAACACTGTAGTAAGATTGTACTACCAAAGATATCCAAACTGACCGATTCCTCATAGACAAACATTGGCCTCAGTCGAAAGAAGGCTTAGCGAAACTGGTAAAATTCAGCCCAATCGTGAGGGTGCCGGAAGAAGGCGTAATGTCCGAACTGTTGAAACTGAGGAAGCTATACTGGAACATCTAGAACAAGACTGTGGTACAAGCACAAGACGGGTGTCCAGGCAACTGCAAGTTTCTCAGTCTTGTGTGGAATGTAGCTCATGAAAATCTTTTATACCCTTTTCACCATCAACCCGTACAAGAATTGAATGACTCTGATTTACCTAACCACGTGGATTTTTGTCAATGGTACATTAATATTTCCAGGCATGACTTAAAGGACCCCGCACAAATTATATGGAAAATGGTCTTTCAGTAAATCTTGCTGAAATTTTGCAGAGGTAGGTTTCAGCTTCCTGAACAAAAGTGACATCATACCAGGATCAAAAAACCTCACCCAAAGCCAATGTGCGGCTTGAAATATACGAAAAAAGGTATTTCGTTGAATCTTGCTAAACACAGGTCAACATTTGATCCACAATGAAACACCCATAGCCGTCTGGTTTTTTGGGGTCGCTGATTACGATGAGTAGGTCAGTTAGGTTCCATCACATCAATTTCAAGGTCATTTTAAGGTCACATTAAGGTCATTTGAAGGTCAAGTAGAGAAATAACCGTCAAACAAATCTGAAAAAATTCATACATGTTTTCGAGGTCCCTAATCAAGAAACCGTAGTTGTTTGACCCCGCAGCGACTACCAAGGGTCATTTAAGTCATGCCAAGGTCATTTTTAAGGTCAGGTAGAGAACTGATCATCGAAAAAATCTGCAAAAATTCACAATATGTTTCTGAGGTCACCGGAGGTGACCGTCGGCCATATTGGATTCATCATCTTGGATTTGGAAACTATGAAAATCTAACTTCATATCAGCGACCCTGAAAACCCCCGAGTAAAAAAATTCAGACAAAAATATAAGGACCAGACCACTTTGGGTGTTTCACTGTGGATCAAATGTTGACCTGTATTTAGCAAGATTCAACGAAATACCACTTTTTGTATATTTCAAGCTGCACAGTGGCCTTGGGTGAGGTTTTTTGATCTTGTGTCATTGAGACATTTGTTCAGCAATCTGAAACCTACCTCTCTGCAAAATTTCAGCAAGATTTACCGAATGACCATTTTCCATATATTTTGTACGGGGTCCATTCCTAATGAATATACTTTTCACCGATGAAGCAAATTTTCTTAGAGTAGGTGCAGTAAATCTTCATAATGTTCATTCATGGTTGGAAGAAAATACTCATGAAATATTTGTTTTAAGATGTATAACATAATTTCAGTTTAAACGTTTGGATGGGAATTGTAGGAAATACCTCTTTTTGTATCTAGTAGGTCCTTTTATTCTTCCACACAGGCTTGGAGCGGCCGAGTATCTTAGATTTTTGAACGAAAATCTTCCAACATTACTTTAGGATGTACTCCTCGCTAGACATCAGGTAAAATGGTATATGCACGATGGGGCACCTGCACGTTCACCTGACCTATCGCATATGGATTTCTTTTTGTGGAGACACATAAAAAGTATTGTTTATGTCACTCCTGTTGCCTCCTTAGAAGAACTGTGCTTAAGATTATTTCAGGCAGCAGATGACCTTCACAATAACAAGAACTGTTTGTGCGAGTGTGTTATAACTTCAATAGATGTATTAGGTTATGCTTGCAGCAAAATGGAAATTATTTCCAGAATATTCTTTAAATTTAATTTTGCATTTCTTGTTTTTTGTTTGTATTAAATTTTATTTCAGATAAATAACTTCACCTAATACCTAATCCATGTCCCATAGTCATAAGTTATCAAACATTTTTCATTAATTAATAGCAAATTATTCTTAATGTTATTATTAAATTACCAGCTTATTGACAGAAAGCGTCAATTTATTAATATGATAAATAACAATTTATTTGTTATGACATCCTCCTACTTTATTTTTACAAATTTTCGCAATTACCCCTTTAGTAATCGATGACGCATCTAATTTTTTACTAGAAAACTATCGGTTTTATGGAAAAATTACAAGAGGTAAAAAAGCTGCGCAATAAATCAGTCTTCCCAATAAATATTTTTAAATAAATAATTTGCTTCATATAAAATATTTCTAATAAAATATTGCAATGGGGTTGACTGAACAAATATTGAAAAGTTGTCTCTTTATTAGTAGTAGGATGTTCATTAAAAGTTTCGTGTCTACCATTCCTCATGTTAAAGAAAAAAATTAAAATGTGAATTTCAACTCCTCCTTTAAGAGGGTATATCGCCTTAGGGGTGCAACTTTCATATAAGGTATTTTTACTTCAATCCTCTTATTTTTGGCTCTACATTCACTGGCACCATTTTTGCTACTTCGTTTAAAAACATCCCATTCATATGGCCAATATATCACTTCTTTGCAATTACTGTTTTGAAAGAGAAGTTTTGTGATTTGTACAGTGGTTTTTGAAAATTTGAGCAGGTAAAGGTGTTGGATGTATATGTCAATTTTTTTTACATAATATAGGATAGGTTTCACACATATACTTATCCAAAATAAGAACAGTGTATTCTTTAGAGTAATCGAATTTACTTTTCCTTTTCTATGAACAAAACCGACTTGTGTTTGAAGTTTTGGTTGATTGCATTTATACAAAATGTCCTGAAATTAGCCTGCGATATTTTTCCAGGACTATCGCTAAAAATAACAGAAAATGTTTTACGTTTATATGATCGCAGGTGGAGAAATATTTTATTTCCAAAGAAATAAAACTTAATTTTTTATTCAAACAATGAACAAGTCCACATGCAAAAAAGTTAAGGCAGAAATTAATTATCACGCTCCGGCTAGAATTTAGAAATTGTTTTATGACTTTCAAAACCTAATAATACTATCCAGTTTCGAGATTTATAGAAAAAAAATCAAGTTCAGGGTTTTTAGTCACCTTATAGGAGATTTTTCTCTGCCTATATTCTTGCAAACTTCTATTTTTAATTGAAAAATAGTGGTAAAATATTGCAAGCTTATTTCGGAACAAAATTACTTTGTTGCCATTTCTATTTTAAACATTAAATTGAAATCGATAATCCAGTATGTCTACCATTAATAGCAACTATGCGTGTTCATGCCACATTTTTTATACATAGCCTTCATAAGTATTTACATGCCGTGTGACCGCTTAGCTCAACAATCAACATTGCACAGCTGATACTGTCCACTGAAAATCCCTAAACCTTAGCGTCACCAATAGTAATGATACGTTTACAGTAAAGAATGACAATCTTTTGCGTCTACAATCAAGATAATGCGATCGTTGATTAGTTGAATAGAATCTCGTAAAAAAATGGTGAAACAGAATGTTGCATTTTAGTGTAATATTGATTTTATTGTTTTAATAATTCTTAATTTTATCGAAATTTAATTAAAGGAAATAAAGTGACTGTTACAGATCAAATTACTGGTCACGTGGCCTGTAATCATTTATGAAGACTGTATCTCCCAAGTTTATTGTTAAGTCAAATGAGTTTGTAGTAGATTCGTGAGTGTTATTTATAACAAAGTCCTTGTCTAAGATTTGACATAATTTTATTCTGTTTGTGTTTGGTTAATATTTGGATTTTAAAATTGTTATAGATAGCATTGTCAATAAAAAAAGCAAATGAAGACTATGCCCCTATGGCTGAGGGTAAGGAAGCCCATTGGGAAGTTGTAGAGAGAATATTATTTTTATATGCGAAACTGAACCCCGGGCAAGGATACGTTCAAGGCATGAACGAAATTATCGGACCTATATATTATGCTTTCGCATGCGATCCTGATATTACTTTTAGAGGTAACACAATTTCAGTTCATTATGAAATAATATGGGTTTGTTTCTTTACCAAAGCATTATTTTTTTAGAATATGCCGAATCAGATTGCTTCTTTTGTTTCACAAATTTAATGTCCGAGATCAGAGATTTTTTTATAAAAAGCCTAGATGAGTCCGAGAGAGGTATAAACAAAATGATGAGCAAAATGCTAGTTGAACTAAAAAATTGTGATTTAGACATTTGGCTTAGATTTCAACAGCTGGATTTGAAACCGCAATTTTATAGTTTTAGGTAAGTTTCTTTCATTACGTGCGATAAAGATATTAGCCCAGTAAATGAAAAAAAAATTGTTCAAAAATTCGTTTGAGATTGAAACTTGGTTTAATCGTTAGTTTAGGCAAAAAGAAATAATATTTCCCAAAAAGTATCGGTTTAAAACAACAAGATCATTGTTTAAACAATTATTATAATGTAATGTGACGTCGTTGTTCGTTTCCTTCGTCGTTCGTCACTATGACGCCTGAGCAGCGGCGGGTACCTCGGGCGCCAGTTCCTGTTTAAAATGCAGAAACACCACTACACGGGCGGCTGCAGTGAAGACACGGTATGTCCAGAGGGTCCAGAGAAGTTAGGCTTCACACAGGAATAAAAGGCCACAAATTGGGAAATATTTACATTTATTTATAGTCCAATTTTACCTATTTGCACTATGTTACTCTAAATCTATAGTTCGGTGATGGTCGGATTCGACGGCTTCTTGTGAGGACGGGAGATGGACCAACTGCTCGCTGCTCCGGCTGGATGTCGACTCCTTCTTCAAAAGCGGCGTGTTGGAAAATGTTCCTGAAGTGGTTCCTGGCGGCTGCGCAGTTTTCCCAGGCTGGACTTAGCAGAATCTTACCAATTCCTATTGGTGACGTAGCTTGGGCTGGAGCAGCTCGACTGGTTGCAACGGCGGCTGGTGAGGAACTCAATTTCCAATTCAGTTTATTTCCTAAATTCCTTGTCTCGGATTGGCGGCTGCGCACTTCTTCTAGGCTGGACTTGTAAAATTTTACTTACTTCCTGCGGTGACGTCTCGGCTTGCTGGAGTTGTTTTCAGGCGGGACTGGTTGCTACGGCGGCTCGTGAGGAACTAAATCTCGGACGGCGGCTTAATGCTAAGCCCTGGTGATGCTTCGTCAGCAACTGCATAGTTCTCCTAATAGGGACTTGTAAAATTCTTACTCATGCGGTGGTGACGTATCTCTGGCTGGACGGCAGGCTGGGCTCGGTACGACTGGTCCCTACGCTGGCTGGCGAAAGACTGTGGTACACAGTGTGAGTTAGCAGACCATCGGCTTGGCGCTACGCAGTGACGGATTAAATTCAGGCGGGATTTGAAATGCCAAAAACAATGCTGATGCGGTAAATTATATTTATTAATGAAATTAAATAAAAAGAACACAAATGTGGGGTGTCTGAAAATCGCTTCGTTGCAGTAAAAATTACCAAAAATGGAGTTTTTTAGCTGTATTAAAAAGCACTCTCCAACAGGAGTTTTTGCTTTTGTTTATACTTATAGGTTTTCAAAAAACGCTTCATTTGAGACCTGCTAAATTAAAATCCATTAACAATTTGTTTAAATGTGTGTAATAATTGTGCAAAAAACGAGCGAAATTTGAATTTGCTATAAATAGAAGAAAAGAGCATAAATCGTCTCTAAATTGCAGTAAAAGTTGTATTTTGTTACGCTTAAGAAACCCTGAAAAGGTAAAAAAATATTTATTTGTTTACGAGTTTTTGCATTTGTTTATTAGAAATAGCATTTTATTATTCCCCCAGCACATTCCAGGTATAAAAATGTATTCGAGGACGTTTTTTTGAAGGTTAAAAATTACTATAAAATGCATTTTTTTCGACATCTTTAACCGTTATTATGAACTTTAAGGATTGATTGATATATTCCCGAAATTTCAAGTCTTAATGCTTAATAATAATAATAATAATGATAATGATAGTGATAGTGATAGTGATAGTGATAGTGATAGTGATAGTGATAGTGANTTTATTATGCTTATAAGATATTACAAAATAATATATAGCATTAGTCAACACATGGAGATAGAACGCCTAGAAACTAAAGAGAGAACAAAAGGAAAAACATTTACAAACATAAAAGAAAAAAAACTAACCTAGCAAAAGTATTCGGACATAGAATAAAAACATTTAACTGACAAATACAATCTTAACTTTCGTTTGAACTGGCCAATTTTTTTACACTCTTATTTTGTATGGCAAATGATTTTGGGTCCTAACCTAAGTAATTTGACCCTTTACCTACAATTGATAATTTTGTGAAAGGTATACGTATTTCATTATTTTGTCGGGTATTAATATTGTGAACATCCCTATTCAAACAAAATTTATCTACATTTTTAAAAATATACATCGACATTTCAAATATAAATAACGATGCCACAGTTAAAATTTTATGTTCCCTGAAGACAGGTCTACATGACTGCAAGTTTCCAAGTCCAACAATAATACGCAATATGCGTTTTTGCAAAATAAAAACAGACTTCGCCGAGGTTGACTCACCCCAAAAACAAATACCATACCGCAATCGACTATCAATTTGGGCATAATATAAATTAATTAATTGCTGCCTTTCTAAGATCCCACTCATATTCCTAAACATATAACAATTATATGACATAGTTGAAACAAGCATACTACAATGAATTGTCCAATTAAGTTTCTCATCAAGATATATACCCAAAAAATTAGCACTCGTCTTACATTTGCCAATGTCACAATTATTTACAGTGTCAGATCATCGCAACTTCTTTGTGCAATACGAACCTTACTATCTGGGTTTTATCAACATTAAAATATAAATTATGATCACAAAACCATTTACATAACAGTTCCAGGGTTCTATTTATGTTTGCATTCAGATCATCAATATTTTTATTTGAAAACAACACAGCCAAGTCATCCGCGTACATGGTGAAAAACTTATCAATTAAAACTGACTCCACTGAATTAACGTACAAAATAAAAAATATAGGGCCAAGAACTGATCCCTGTGGCACCCCCATTTCCACAAGTAATTTGTTGGAATTTATTCTATTAACATACTTTGAATTTACATTATCAATAGATACATACTGTTGACGATGTTTTATAAAATCAGACACCCATTGCAACGGTTGCCCTCTTATGCCATAATCCTTCAACTTATCGAGCAACACATCATGATTGATGCAGTCGAATGCCCAGGTAAGGTCACAAAATATTCCAGCAGGACACTCGCCTGCATCAAAGTGTTGCAGCACCTCATTACAGAATGAGTATATTGCAGTTGTAGATAATCCGTGGCGAAAACCAAATTGCTTATCATTTATGATCCGAAATCGATCCAAAAAAGGTATTAAACGGCAAACAAAAGCATGCTCGAAAATTTTTGACAATCCACATACCTACTATAGTTATAGGCCAGTAATTATCTAGTGAATAGGGATCCTTTTTTTTGAATACAGGGGTGACTTTACCTAGCTTTAAGGTTTGAGGAATGTTCCCACTAATAAAAGACAGATTCGCTAAGAATGTAAGGGGTTGTATAATTAAATTAAGAACTCGTTTAATTAAAAACATTGGGATGTCATCTGAACCAGATGATTTTTTATTTTTCAGTTTATTTTTAAGTAGTGAAAGCAGTTGAAAGGTTCCAAGAACAACGAATCTCTTGGTCTTGATACGCCTTTATTTGGGAAGTTTAACGTAGCACTACTCATATTACAGTTAGAGGAAATTTTATTTATGATTTCCTTGGGTGTATTTATAAAATATTCATTAAACATAGAGGCAACTTGACAAGGGTTATCAATAACTTTGTCGTTTATTTTTACCGATATATTTGTGGTTTTCTTTTTCTTGTTGGTTATTTCAACAACAATTTTCCAAGCCGCACGGCCTGCATTATCGGCGTTATTGATTTTATTTTGGTAGTATCTCTTTTTTGTTTGTTTAACAAGGAGGACATGATCTTTTTTAACTGACCGATATATATGAAGCAGATCCGGATTCATTTTTGAGAGATGAAATAATTGTTTAACTTTCTGGCTAGATACTCTAACACTATCATCAACCCAGTTTTTACCATTGTTATGGCCAATATGACACCTACGTTCAGGGAAATGCAATTGAAAATAATATAACAGTATGTTATAGAAACTGTTAAAAGCATCATTTAAGTCAGATAAAGTTTGTAAGTAAACAAATTACGAATTTAAAATAAAAAACGCTATCTCGGCTAAAAATTGTCCTAGAACAATTTTTTTTTTAATTCGTGAAAAATTACCAGCTTACGAATATCAAAGCGGCTTTAAAAAATATTAATTCTTCACAAAGTTATTAACGAAAAACCATATAAACAAATTACACTATTAGTTTATACGCCGTTTTGAGGAGGTTAGCCTATGAAATTACAATTTCCAATTCCATATCTTGAAAAAATAAGTCAGGACGAAACAAATGAGCCCTCATAAGGCAAAAACTCGTAAACAAATAAATATTTTTTTACCAAATTTTCAGGGTTGCTGGTTTTTTGTAATTATTTAAACAAATTGTTAATGGATTTTAATTTAGCAGTTCTCAAATGAAGCTTTTTTTGGAAACCTATAAGTATAAACAAAAGCAAAAATAATACAGCTAAAAAACTTAATTTTTGGTAATTTTTACATTGTTTAAACAATGATCTTATTGTTTTAAACCGATATTATTTCTTTTTGCCTAAACTAACGATTAAACCAAGTTTCAATCTGAAACGAATTACCTTTTGATTTACATGTATTACAAATTTCATTTACTGGGCTATATACAAAGAATTGTTAGTGGATAAAAGGGAATTGTATGAAAGATTAAACAATTTTTTTTATTATATTTAAGATGGATCACGTTGCTTCTTTCACAAGAGTTTCCATTGCCTGATGTCCTTAGGATATGGGATTCCCTCTTTTCAGATGAGAAACGGTTCGATTTCCTGATTTATGTGTGTTGCGCGATGATTGTGTAAGCAAATTGTAAAAATTTGTAATTAACGGAAATATTTATTATTGCTGTATTTCAGAATACTTCGTAATCAATTATTAGAAGGAGATTTTCCGTCCAATTTAAAATTACTCCAAAATTTTCCTCCGATGGATGTTCAAATTATATTATCAAAAGCTGTTCAGTTATCGAAGCAGAAACTTTTTTAAATTTTACACGATATACATAAAAAATTTTTAATTATATTTTGTATCTTTAACGTAAACGATAAAAGACAGGAGATCATCTTCAAGGTATGCGCATTTATATAGCTACAAACACAAAGATGTTCTTTTAACATACCAGGTGTCCCATTTTAAAAGAAGCCATCAATCGAAAAATGGCCTACAGTAAAAGTTGTTCAGTTCACTGGGGGAAACCAGATGCTTACCTAGGATTTGACCTTGACTTCACTTTGAAGGTCAACTTCGTAATTTTAAATGGAACTCCCTATTTTTAACCTTGGAAATGGACTCAGCAGAAAATTTTACATCCGGATGTGATCACAACTTTGACCTTGAGGTCAAGGTCACAACGGGTTTAAATGATTCGTCACCCTTGAAGCAGCCTCGGAATAAGATGTTGACCTCCAGAATCGATGGGATTTACATCAAGGTACTCAATCGCGACCTTCGATTCGTCCTTGACGTCCACTTTGTCAAGGTCATTTGAAGGTCGACTATAAAAATCGACCTTCACCTCTACAAATGTTGCGAAAGATGTTCGGGATTGAATTTGAAGCTTCACTTTGTTTTCTTTGTCAGTTTTACTTTGTAACGTACTCAGATATCTCATTTTTCAATTCTCAAGCCAAGTTATACCTTCGTTGAGTAACAAGATATTTTTATCATTCTTCCTTCACTCGTTCGTAGCATTATTTTTTCTTAATAGTTATAGTCGACCTTCAAATGACCTTGAGAAAGAGGAGGTCAAGGACAAATCCTATTGATTCTGGAGGTCAACATCTTATTCCGAGGTTGCTTCAAGGGTGACGAATCATTTAAACTCGTGACCTTGACCTCAAGGTCAAAGTTATGATCACACCCGGATGTAAAATTTTCTGCGGAATCAATTTTCAAGGTTAAAAATAAGGGGTCCCATTTAAAATTCCGAAGTTGACTGTCTAGGTCAAATCCTAGGTAAGCAGCTGGTTTCCCCCAGTGAACTGAGCAACTTTTACTTTAGGCCGTTTTTCGATTAATGCCTTCTCTAACGAGATATTTACGTGTATCAATTAAAATGGCACACCCGGTATAAGTAGAGGAAATGAAGCTGCAGTCAATTTTTTTGTGAATTCTTAAAAAAATTATATTATTAGTTACATTTTAACTGTGCGAATGGATTTAAAATTGTACAACTTAATGTTCGAAATTAATCTCGGAGATGCTCATACACCAAAAAAATACTTGTTGCTAAATAAATTTTATACATAAAAAAATATATAAAGTACACTACTGTATGGGAAGATGTTTTTTTATATATATACAGGGTGTCCCATTTTAATGTACCAGGCCATTTTTTTAATTCAACAAAAAAAAATTTCGGACAAAAATTATCAGGTTTCAAGAGGACAAATTATGGTGACCTTGAAGTCAATTACCAAGGTCATTTCAAGGTCAACCTTAATTTTTTATATGGATATCCATATTTTTAATTTCAGATTCGTATTATGTGGGAAAAAATACGTAACTTTTGTATGAAATTTTTTTTGAACATGCTTCGTTCTCACCAGAGTGCGCTATACTTTTACTGTTCCATTTTAATTCTCAGGCTAACATCTCAAGAAAAATATTTCTAACAAAAGTTGTCAGGTTTCGGGGGATCAAATTACCGCGACCTTAAAATTAAATTTAAAGTCAATTACCAAGGTCATTTTAAGGTCAACCTTTTTATTATAAAAATGTGGGTTTCCAGTTCAATGTCCTTGATAATTGACTTCAAGATCACCATAATTTGACCCCTTCGAAACCTGATAACTTTTGTTCGAAGTATTTTTTTTTTTATGTCGAATGTATAGAACTGATTTACAAAAAAATCCGCAAAAAAATTTATGTTAAATTTCTTTTGATATTTGCATATGATATTTAGATTCTTAATCGAGTATATTTTATTTGTAATTGCCAGATATTATAAATGTAGTCTTCTTTAAGTTAAAACATCATGACAAAAACATAATTTTAGTAATTGGTTAAAATGTATTTGTTTTTAGAATAAAATTGTTTATAAATAAATAGCTAAAAGTGTATGGTCACAGGGTAAAATTTTCATCGGTTTATATAAATTTTCCTTTTCACACATATTTTATTGGATCGTATTGACATTTGTTGCTACCTCAGCCTTAATATGACACTGTCGACATATCTAATTATCCCTTCCAGTCCTTTCCTTTTTATGCCGCTTCATGTCGTGATATTCTTCTTATTTTTCCTTGTTTTTAAAGAAGTCCTTAGCAAAAGTCTGCGCTACCACTAGTGGGAAAATTAAAGTAGCTTCACCGTATATTTTAACAGGTGTTGCATCTTTTTTTATCTTTCCCCATGACTTTGCCTCATCTGGACGAGCACCTGAATCGCTTCCATCATATTCCGATGCTGTGTTCAGATACACCGAAAAATCTGCTCCGTTTCTCTGCAAGTTGAATCAGTGAAGGATATTAAAATTAAGTTTTTTTTTTTAGTTACCATTAAATTTGCATTGCATATATGGTGTTTTATTACTCCTCCTCCTAATATAATCATTCCCGTATTAACCGATTTCATGGCCATTAAATTTAATCTTCTTAAATCTAAAAAATATTGTTTTTAGTTCTTTCAGATAGAGGCATTTTTTAGGATTCACAGTACTAAAAGTCAATTTATAATTTTTTTTCCAGTTACACAGGAAATTTCTAGGTCTAGAATCCTTGTACCAAGAAATTTCCGCAATTCGTTGTTTGGAACCAAAATGGCTGTCAATGAGTAAAATTTGTTGTCAAAGCATTTATTTTCCTAGTTTTCTGTATCTATAAACATAATATGAATACTGTGTAGTCCAACCAAATTACATTTGGTGAAAAAAAATATTGTTACCTGGACTTTTATAAGTGGAAATGGTAAAAGGGCTTTTAATAAACCTAAAAAAAGTAAATGCGTGAGCAGGGGTGGGGGAGGGTTGAATTGGGGGGTTGAAAAGTTGTGAAAAATTGTATCATTGGGATTTCTGGCGAAAGTTGACGTCAAACAAAAAAGTATCTAATGCAAAAGTTGTAGATCATGCAAAAATCTACAACTTTTATAGAGGTCACTTTTTATGATGACCTCAAATTTTCCGAGGAAAATGCAAAAGACAGGTGTTTTTCTGATTTTTTGTTTTTTATTTCTCATTTCCGCAAAAATAACTAAATTTTGACGAAACTTGGTGAAAGTTTATCTTTCTGTGTCTTAAATAACCACAAATTTTTTTAGATAAAAAAATTAAGAAGTTTACGAGATATTAATTTTTTTTTTTTTCAAAGAAAAATTCTACTTCGGAAAATCATTGTACAGAGTTCTGTCAGCGATAATTTTTTTTGTTTTGACAAATACTTTTTGGTGAAATAAAAAAAATCTGTAATCACAGTTCAAAAACATGCTCAAAAATGCAAAAAAAGTAAAAAATGACTTGCAACGATGAATTTTCCAGTAATTGTTGATAATTTGCTTAAATTTAAAAAAATTCAAAATTTGATTACACCATTCAATTCTACAGAAAAAAAACTATCTTATTGTTTGACCCAATTTTTGTACAGTATTGCTATAAACATTTAAGTCGAATTACAAATGTACAAATGATAAATCATCTCTGGATGATTTGAGATTTCAGCAATATAACAAAGCAAAGCAAAGTATTAACTGCAAAGTCCACTATTGACGCGAAACCTGAAATTTTGCAAGATTGTTTTATTTTCTGGCTTTATTTGAAAACGAATTTTAAAATAAATTGCATATTTACATTGGCACTTTTTTTGCTCTATCCAATTGGATGATACTATTGTAATCGATTAAAAAGGTTTTTAGGAATCATTTAAAATTTTTCCTGAGTACGGCTCTGAACGCTTTCAAAATATCTATTGGAGGAAATCCTAACAGTATAAAAGTCAGTACAGCACAAAATATCCAACAATTTTTTTTTAATAAATAATTATCTAAAAAAATTCTGGTTATGAAAGACATAGAAAGGTATAGTTTCACCAAGTTTCGTTAAAATTAAATTATTTTTGCGGAAATGAGAAATAAAAAACGAAAAGTAAGAAAAAACCTGTTTTTCAGAAATTTTGAGGTTATCTTAAAAAGTGACTTCTACAAAAGTTGTAGACTACAACTTTTGTATTGGCTACTTTTTTGTTTGACGACAACTTTCACCAGAAATCCCAATGATACAATTTTTCTTAACTTATTAACCCCCCAAATTAACCTTGCGCCACCCCTGCTCACGCATTTATTTTTTTTTCGTTTATTATAAGCCCCTTTACCATTTCCACTTATAAAAGTCCAGGTAACAATTTTCTGTTTTTTTCCATCTAAATGAGTTAATTCGATCGGTCTAGTGGAGATAAACTCATTTTTATTTTCATTTATGGATAAGCCAAAAAAGTTATCTATTTCATCAGCCAGAGAATTTACTCTTGGCGGAAGGTTTAAGATTTGTTGTAAAAATAAAATTAAAAATTAAATCAATATTGTAAACAGCTAACCTGATACGATATCTAATACAAGTCCAGGATTTCTAAATGAATGTAAAAACATCATGTCGCCTATGCTTCCATCGGTAAGCGCTGGACAAAATACTGGAATTTTATTTTTAGCTGTCCAATAATATACACTTTCTTCATTGTTAATTTCTTTGCCCAAACGTTCTATAAGTTTACTGGGTGTCCAAAGAACGCCATCCTTTTGTTCCTTTAACATCTCGTCTAGAATCGGCATAATCCAGTTTTCAAAACGACAATAGTTATCATTTGGCACTAATAAGTTTCCAATTCTATTTATCCCTCGTTCTCTTAACATTTTTCCGTCTAATTTAAAATCACCCAAAAATGTGGGTGCAAGGCATTTTATAAAGTCCTCCTCGATGCCTCCGGCAGTAGTGACAATGCAATCTACCTGCAACTATATAAATGTCTAAAAGTTTAAGGTAATTAACTTATTGTTACCAAGCTATGTTGAACTAAAAATTTGATAGTTTCTCTTAAACCGCTCGATATTAAATTGGAAGTGTATCCTAGAAAGATTGTACAATTATTTTTAATAATCGTAAACTCATCTTCATTATCTATATATTTATCTTTGGGTATGGGTAGTTTCCTGCATTTTATCATCTTATTTATTTCATTAACCGCTAACCCAAAATTTGTAGCTTGAAATCCACTACTTAAGTAACTATTTAATAATTTATCATAATTTAGGCCTTGATTCCAGTTATAACCACAAACTTTTTCTCTTAATAATGATATATCCGTGGTTTTTTTTAGAATGGTTTCATCTAAACTTGATGATGATCCAGCCATTTTCTAAATGAGTGAAGAATTTGTAGTAATTATTTTCCCTTCTAGTATGAAAAATTGCACAGCGCGAGAGTAAACATTGTTTTATATTTATATTTTAAATTTTTATTTTTAGGTTACTACTTTTAGTGCTTTTTCTTGTTTTTTTCTTTTTCATAAATGTCTATAGGGTTTTTTTGTTTTAATAGACTAAACTGTGGAGAAAATAGAAAATAATTAAAGTGAGGAGCACAGTAATCACAGTATTTGTTCTCTTATTCCTGGTTTTAATGCGATGAATTCCATCGATGTATTACTATTGGCATGTTTAATAGATTCTAATCTCTTATTGATTCTACGGAATCCTTCACATCATTGAAATGATGAATAAAAGCACACGGCCTTTGATTATTATAATCGCCGCGCCATTATTCTATGGCTAGAAATTGGCCTCAATGATTTGGGATCGAGGGGGATTATCCCTCTTTATCCTGCCTCATCTCGTGTAGGCCTGG